CCCTCCCTCCTTCAGAGGCCCTGTGCTCAGCTCCCAGGCAGGCCCCAGGGAACTGCAGGGCTTTGGGAGGCACCCCCTCCACAACCTCTGAGGTCCAGCTGGGCTCCATCTGGAGGCCAGAGCCTACCGGGTCACTCCTGTCTCGAGCTCCCCCTGCTGGGCAAAGAGCGCAGGAGTCCTCGTCCAGCCCCTTCCCTAGTCCACTTTATCCTGGCTTCAGCCTCTTCTGGGAAAATGGATCTCCTGTTCTCATCACATAGTCTGCTGGGCTGGGAGGAAGTAATTCCCACATGGCGGGCGGGGGAGATGACCCTGCTGAAGCCAGAGGTTGCGGGTCTTTTCTACAACTCTCCCTCCTTTCCTCTCTTAGACAGGATCTTACTGTGTATCCCCCGTTGGGACTCACTCTCTAGACCAGGCTAGCCTTGAAATCACCTGCCTCGCCTTCTGAGAGCTGGATTAAATGTGTGCACCAACACAGCTGGCCTGGCTCTAATTTTGTTTTGCTTTGGTGTTGTTTGAGACAAGGTCTCGCGTAGCCCAGGCTGGGCTCCAACTCCCTAAGTAACCAAGGATGACCTTGAGCTCCTGACCCACCTGCTTCTGCTTCCTGTGTTGGGAATGCAAGCATGTGTCACCACCCTCCACAGATCACACTGCAACACGCATGGCCAAGAGGCCTGAGGAACTTGCGAGTTAACACAAAGATCCACAAATGGCGATTCCGGCCCACCATCGCTTCCCATCCATCCGGATGGCTGAGAGAACCAGTGCGGTGATGCTGGGGTTGGCTGGGATTCAGGAAATGGTTCTGCTGCTGGGAAGGAGCATTGTCAGCAGAAGCACTTGGGCATAAAATTGGCAAGATCCACTGAGCTGGGAGTGTCTAGGTTTAGCGCCATATGCCACCTCCAAACATATTTATAAAAAGTCACATGAGGAAGGGGAGATGTCCCCAAGGGGAGTCTGAGCAGAAACATGTGAAGCAACTGTAACCAAAGAATATATCCAAAGTAAAGCTGCGGAGGCAGCTAAACCATGGTCTTTCTTCTTTTCTTGTTTTTTGTTTTTGCAACTGGGTGTTATGTAGCCTGGGCTAGTCTTAAACTTGTAGGGGTTCTTCTGCCTCAGTCTCCCCAGAGCTAGGATGTGTGCCATGACACCTGGCTCTTTTGATGCTTCTGTTGCTTTGAGGTGGGGTCTCACTGAGCAACCACCCTTCATCTCACTCTGTAGCTAAGGATGACCTTGCAATTTTCTTCCCACCTCCCAAGTGCTGGGATTACAAGTGCGCCCTGCCACACCTGGCTCTTTTTCTGTGTGAATTTCATGTACCCCAGGCTGGCTTGAAACTCTCTACGTAGCTGAGATGCCCTTGATCTCCGGCCTTCCTGTCCCCACCTCCCAAATCCTGGGATTAGGGGCGTGGGCCACCAAGAGAGCTCCCAGCAAATTTGAATCGCAGCCCTGCAGGGGCCGTCAATCTGAGGGTGCCTTGGGAATTGCATCTTTTCATCATCACAGTGAAGAGGAGGTGGGACCATCAGGATGTCCATTTTAGTAAAGGGGAAACTGAGGCAAAAAGAGATGAGTAATACCCCTAGATGACTCTGCCAGTAAGTCTCAGAATTAGAAGGCTCCAGGCAGCTGGGATCCAGACACCACCCCCCTGACAGTGATGTTCCTGATCCTCTGTCAACAATTGGGCTAGCACTAGGGTCCTTCCATTGCACGAAGGAGGTGACTGAGCACAGCTGCTTCCCCAGTACCACTCAGCGAGAGAGCAGCACCAAGCCTAGGCGTGGTGGTACACTCTATGATCTACACACTTGAGTGAATGATGCAGGAGGATTGCCTGAAGTTCAGTCCTGCTTAAAACCAAATAAACTAACTAACAAAATCCAAACCAATAGCTAGGCATGGTCCTGAATGGTCGCCTGATGGCTGTGTGGCCTTGGGCTGGCCAGGGATCCCATCTGGGCCATGGATTTCCCATGAGCACCTACTTCCCTTATAGAACTGCAAAGGATTCGGGATTATAGTGTGTGGTAGAGAACATTTGTTAGCAGTTCTCAAAATGTGGCCTGAGGACCCCTGAGACCTTTTCAAGGCTTGATGCAAGCCATTTTTACAAAAATACTAAGGTGTTGTGCTGAGGAAATGGCTCAATTGGTGGAATACTGGGTTTAATTTCAGCATCACGTAAGTGAAGTGTGGTGGCTCATGTCTGTAATCTCAGCCCTTGAGAGGTAGAGAGTGAAGGATTAGATATCAAGGTTATCCTTAGATATACTGTGGGTTCAAAACCAGCCTAGGCTACATGAGACTGACTCTCTCTCTCTCTCTCACCTAACTACCAATCTATCTATCCATCCACCCACTCACAGGATCAATTTGTCTGTCCGTCTGTCTATCTACCCACCATCTCTCTACGTTCCTACCTATACAGCTACCTCTTGTCTATACTATTCCCATTCCTGAGACCACAACAAGGTTTTCAGAGGCAGTTAGATGATGCATGTGACAATGACAAACTGAAGGTGGAGGCAGGAGGGAGAAGCCATGTCTTGCCTGTCTCTCACAAGAGAGAGCTGTAAAAAATAAAAACAGTAACCAGGCGGTGGTAGCGCATGCCTTTAACCCCAGCATTTGGGAGGCAGAGGCAGGCGGATCTCTTTGAGTTCAAGGCCAGCCTGGTCTACAAGAGCTAGTTCCAGGATAGGCTCCAAAGCTACAGAGAAATCCTGTCTTGAAAAACCAAAAATAAATAAATAAATAAATAATAAAAAAACAGGTTCTTCTCACATTAAACAATTTTTTGTGTGTATGTACATGGTCGTGTGTACACATGCGTGGGTGCTCGTCCATGCGTGTTCATGTGGAGGGCAGAGGATGACGTCAGGAATCTCTTCCTCAATCACTCTCCACTTGATTTGTTTGAGACAAGGTCTCTCTGTGAATCTGGAACTTACAGTCATGAGACTGGCTGGCCAGCACACCGCAGGAAGTCGCCTCCTTTCACTTTCCCAACACTGGAATGACGGCTGTGCCTAGCTGTTTTACATGGTTCAGATGATCAAATATGGATTCTTGAGAAGCAGGATTTTGCTGAGTCATTTTCTCAGTCCCATATTTGTGTGTAAGGAAAACCTATTTATCTGCGCATATATCTTTTCTTCTTCCTCATTTAGTGTGGGTGAGCACATGCATGTGTGTGTGTGTGTGTGCGTGTGTGTGTGTACAACTTTATGGGAGTCAGTTCTACCATGTGGGTCCCAGGGATCAAACTCAAGAGTTGTTAGGCTTGGCAGTAAGAGCCTGTTTCTGCTGAGCCATCTTACCAGCTCCACATTGTTCTCTATAAAAGAGGGCTATTAAGGACAATTTGTGATGGATTTAATATTCATTTCAAAAGAATCAATAAATATTGGAATTTTTCACTTTTCATATGGTAAAGAGTGACAAGCCTAATTGACATAAACAAAGCCTTTTTAAAAGATCAGTCGGTATACTTAAATAATTATGCTTTTATTATCAGGTTTTTCCTTTTTTGTTTGTACCGAGAATGGACCTCAGGGCTTTGAATGTTTCAAGCAAGTACTCTACCACTGAGCTACATCCCGAGTCCCTCACTGGGGGATTCTAGGCAAGGGCTCTACCACTGAGCTACATCCCGAGTCCCTCACTGGGGGATTCTAGGCAGGGGCTCTACCACTGAGCCACATCTCAGGCAGTCTTCATTTTTATTTTTATATATTAATAATTAATTAATTAATTTTTGGCTCTATCTTTGTTGTTGATTTGAGACAGGGTCTCCTGTAACCCAGTTTAGTCAGGAACTGGCTGAGGCCAACCGTGGCTTTGAGTGCTGGGATTACAGGCCTGTGTGCCAAACACTCTGGTTTATGCAGGTTTGGGGAATGAATCCAGTCTAGCACTCTACCAACTGAGCTACAGTCTCAGTTTACGTACTTTCTAAATTTTATTTATTTAATTTGCCACCTACCATGTTGATCACTTTACAAGAAAAACCTTGCCAGAATTCCATCCACTGAAGACTCAAGGGAACCGGGTTCAAATCCAGCCCCTAGCATTTGTTCCCCAAGTGAGAAAAATGTACTTTCCACAGTCTTAGATTATTATCAACCAATCAAGCTTCACCCTGCCAATCAAACTCTACCCCTGCCAATCAAGCCCCATCCCTGCCAGTTAAGCTCCACCCCTGGATTTAAAGACAGGAGCCAGGGGCTGGAGAGATGGCTCAGTGGTTAAGAGTATTGCCTGCTCTTCCAAAGGTCCTGAGTTCGATTCCCAGCAACCACATGGTGGCTCACAACCATCTATAATGAGGTCTGGTGCCCTCTTCTGGCCTGCAGACATACACACAGACAGAATATTGTATAAATAATAATAAATAAATAAATAAAAATTTTAAAAAAAGACAGGAGCCATTCCACTTCAAGAGCTGAGCAGTGGGGCCCTACATCCACACCTACAGGCCACATAGCCTTTAAGGCCTGAACACCAGTCAGCTGCTGAGCTAGAAAGGCTTTTGTTTGGTAAGGAAGAAACTGGCCACTGTGCAGTTTTTTTGTACCTCAGTTTTCTCATTGGTAAAATAGGGGTAACAGAATGTCTACTTAATGAGATTGCTGCAGGAGTGAACGCTGAGCCCAGGAACCGGAAGAGAAAGTACTGGTGGATGCACTGATGCTCTGGGTAAACCTGTGCTCCTACTTCTGAACATTTTTCTCTGCACAAAAAATAATATCAAAATCCCAAGAAACTGCCTGTACTGCTTATTTCGATGTGGATTCCCTCTATCTCCGTGAACCCTCAGCCCTAAGGTGATGGCTGCTCCCAATAGTCTCTCCTAGCGGGACAGCCTCAGGTTGAAACACCCCAGGAGGTCGTGTCTGAGCTGTTCTGCTCTGCCCCAGGCCGGCCCCCCACCCCCACCCCGCCCACCCGCGCCAACCACATCAGCCAGTCCATCATACCTGTAACTTCTTGAGCTGGCTGTTGACGGTGGCCAGGTCCCCTCCAGGGTCCACGTCTTGTAGCTGGCTCTCCATGTGAAGCAGCCTCTTGTCCAGCTCCGCAAAGCTCTGCACTAGCTGGTCCGCCTTGCTGGCCTCGAAGAGCTGGCGCGCCTTGGCCTGTGTGGTACTCTCCAGCTCCGCCCAGCACTGCCGGATCTCACCCAGTTTCTTACGCACGGAGGCTGCCAGCTCGGGTTTCTCCTGCATCAGTTGCTGGCCCTCCTGGCCGGAGGGGTGGAAGGTTGGAGACAGAAGGATGAGGAGACCAGTGATGGAAACAGACAAAGGGACACAGGACCAATGGAGAGACACAGGGACAAAGCAGGGAGTTAGAGACAGAACAGACGCGACAGAGATGGGACCAAGAAAGACCGGCAAGAGACAGACAGGTTGATGTGGGGAGACAAAGAGAGCCCAGCAAATATGGGAAGGAAATAGGGGAAGACAGATAGAGGATCATAGAGTGATGATTGAGGATATATATACACACAGTAGGACCACGAGAAAAGGACAGAAGAAAGATGAAGGTGAAAAGGGAGAAAGTGAAAGAGGGAGAGGAGGTGGGAGAAGGAGAAAACGGGGAGGGGCAGGGAAGAGAAGGGAGGGGGAGAGGGAGGAGAGGGAGAGGCAGGGAGAGAATGAACTTCCATTAAGCTCAAGGTCCAGAAGACTGGCTTTGCTACACACTGCCCTTTAAGGGTTTGGGTTTTTTTTGTTTTTTGTTTGTTTGTTTGTTTGTTTTTGAGACAGGGTTTTGCTGTAGTTTTAGAGCTTGTCCTGGAACTAGCTCTTGTAGACCAGGCTGGCCTCAAACTCCCCTGTGATCTCTTAAGAGCATAAAGTGGCGCACACCTTTACTCCTAGCACTCCAGAGGCAAAGGCAGGCGGATCTCTGTGAGTTCAAGACCAGCCTGGTCTACAAGGGCTAGTTCCAGGACAGGTCCCAAAGCTACAGGGAAACCCTGTCTCAGAAAAAAAAATTAAAAAAAAAGAGCATAAAATGAACCTGAGTGTTTCTGTTTGATTAAAAAAGTGGGGATGCCCTAGGTTGCAGTTCTAAGGGTTCAACCGGAATAAGGGGGTGTTTAGGGAATTGATACCTAAAGTAAGCATCTGTCTAGGCCCTTCCAAAACTGAAGTCAACTACCTTGGTATTAATTTATAACAAGTTAACAGTAACAGGCACATGTTTTCATTCTCAGATTTGGGAGGCAGAGGCAGGAGGATCTTTGTGGGTTTGAGGCTAGCCTGCTCTACATAGACAGTTCCAAGCTAGCCAAGGTGACATAATAACACCCTGTCTCAAAAAAAAAAAAAAGAGTAAAGCGAGGTGTGGTGGTGCACACCTTTAATCCCAGCACTCAGGAGGCAAAGGCAGGAGGATCTCTGTGAGTTCAAGGCCAGCCTGGTCTACAGAGTGAGTTCCAGGATAGCAAGGGCTACACAAAGAAACCTGTCTTGAAAAACCAAAAAAAAAAAAAAAACCAATAAAAGAAGAAATAGAAATAATAACACCAAACCAGGTATGGTGCTCACACCTGTAGTCCTACTTGCACTTGAGAAACAGAGGCAGGAGAATCATTAGATGTTTGAGATCAGACGGTCTACACAGTGAGGCTCTGTCTCAACAAATCAAATAATAAAAACAGATAAACAAAATAAAAAGAAAGCCAAGTGTGGTGGTGGTATCTGCCGGTCTTCCCAGCACTCAGGAAGTGGAGGGGGGCGGGGAGCAACAATTCAAGGTCATCTTCAGCTACCTGGTGAGTTTAGGGCCAGCCTGGACTACATGAGACTCTGCCTCAATAAATAAGTAAATAAATAAATAAATAAATAGTAAAATAAAGAAAATTTAAAGGGCTGGGATTGTGGGTCAGTGGTAGAGTACTAGCCTAGCATGTACAAGGTCCTGAATTCCAGTTCCAGTAATGAAACAATAATAATATAATAACAAAAAGGGAAGAGAAAAGCCGTCCTGATGTAGCTAGGTGGGAGAACATTTGCCTAGCATATATGAGGTCCTGAGTTGAATTTGCAGCACTGGGAAAAATAAAACCCACAAATCAATGATACCATAATAGCGGGTGCCGTGTCTCATATCTCACACGCCTGTGCCTGGGTCCAACATATCATATGCACTCAAACCCACGGAGGTGGTTACATCTATTTGCTTGTTTTTACTCAAAAGGGTAAATGGAAGTTGGCTGTGGTGATGGAAGACTGTGATCCAACACTGAGGAGTCTCAGACAGGAAGGTCTTGGATTGAAGGCCAGGCTGGGCTACATAGCAAGACCATATCTCACACAGCAAGCAACAAGAGAAGCTGGGTGGGGGGAGAAGAAACCTAGGGTCTAGGAGGCCAACTTAGTTCTCTAAGATCTCACAGTTGGTTACAGACCCTGAAACTAGGGCTGAAAAAAAAAATCTAAATTTTACTATAACCCAAGGCTTCCTCAGTTCATGTCTAAGGCATCCTTCCATATTAAATGGCCTACGTGATGGGAAGGGAAGTGTAGTAGGGTTTATAAGATGGGAGAAATGTCGATAAACAGGAGGCCCTGAGCAGCAACGGGAAGAGATGATGACCACTGTCAGACGAGCAAACTGAGGCTCAAGGTTACGATACTGACTCCAAACCACAGGGCTACAAGCCAGCAGACTTGATACAGGTCTGAACCAGCTGAGGGACGCCAGCCCAGAAGGGTGACAGTGGAGGTGTCAGCAGTGAGGGTGTGTCTCCCGGAGGGCAGGGGGCTTCTCTTCCTCACCCTCTCTATCTTCTCCAGCCACTCCTTATTCTGAGCCAGCTCAGCCATGAACGCCTGGTGCCGGAGCCATCGCTTGTGCAGCTTGTGGCTGTCTTCCCGAGTGCCATCGCGAGCCATCAGCATCTTCTCGCGGATCCAGCCATCCAGCTGTGCAGGGCAGAGAAGGGGGCTCAGGAGGGTCCTCTCCCCATCTGTCACAGCCTCACAATACCCCTCAAAAGAATTCCCAGGGCAGGTTCTCAGCTGAGAAGAGTGGGGCTGAGGAGGGAAATCTATGCAAATAAGACTGATTGGAGCGGACCCTTGGGCCCTTTCTTGGATAAAAGATGCCTATGTGGTCCCCCAGTACCAAATCCTGGGGCTCTGCCAGCCTCGGCTACATAAAAGAAACCAAAGTGGATGTCTGGTTCCACCACCTTCCTTCCACTGCCTCAACCTCTGCAGTCCGACCAACCTCCAGCCCCAGTTTCACCCACAGCAAAACAGAGACCCTGGGATGGTGGGACAGCTCAGTGGGTAAAGGCACTTGCTGTCAAGCTTGAAGACATGAGTTCAGCCTCTGGGACCCACATGGTGGAAGGAGAGACTGACCTCTGACCCTCTCACAAGCACTATGGCGAGGGCACCCAAAGACACACCCACGGGTAAGATGAGTAGATAAATGCAATAAAAATTTGATTTTTTAAAAGGAGAAAAAGTCGTGATCCCCTAATAAGGACCAAACTCTCAACTCTATGGGGGGGGGGGGTGCATACTTGCCATCCCAGCATGGGGCATGCTGGGAGAGGAGGAGACTGGGTTTGTGGCCAGCCTGAGCTACAGAGCAAGACCCTGTTGATTCCATTTTTTAAAAATCCTTAACCTACTCCACAGGTTGAATAAACCCAAACCTAGCCTCAGCACCCCACGGACAGATCAACACCCCTCAAACAACCTTCTGACTATTTCCATGTTTAGCATCCTGATAATTAGGCCTCTAAGCTAGAGGAGACCCATCCCTTGGACCCAGAAATTCTAAAGAAACCTAAGTCCGGCACTTGTGCCTAAGACCACAGTTACCCCAAATTATCACCAGCCAACGCCCAAAATGTGAACAACAGGCTGCCTTTTGATTCCTAGACCAAAACTACCCCCAAATGTAAGATTCCCATTGTGGCTCAGACCAAACCCCCTGACCCAGTCCTCCACCCCCCAGCTAAAGTCATCCAAGATGCAAACAGCAAGAATATTCTCATTGCTCCCCACGGCAACAAACTGGCTGTTTTCTGAGTCCCCCCCTCCACAAGAGCGAGGGCTGAGCCGAGGGGCAGAGCCATTGCTTGCTCAGCACGAAAAAGTAAGTTCTGGAATCCGGCTTCATCTCTAGCACTCGGGGAGGGGGAGAGTGCTTATTAAAAGACTTGTTCCTGAAGCCACAATCTCCTCCCGACCAAAGCCTGAACCTGGGACAGTTTGCTCCTCCCTCTTCCAGTCACAAGATCCTCCTCCTCCCTCCCGATTAAAAAAAAAAAAAAAGGCCGGACTCTGCGGGTCCGGGAGGCGAGCACTGTCATATTCAAGGACAAATCCCGAGCCGGCCAACTCCACCCCACTTCACGTCCCCAGAGCATGTGCTCCTCAGGAGGCCAGAACAGCTTCTCACTGCACACACTCGCAAAGTCAAACGCCGAATCCCCCAATTCTCTACACAAGGATGAACACGCAACCGGAGTCCCACAGTGAAGGCAAACCCTAACGGAGGTGATCCGCGTTCTCTAGGTAAAGCCCTCTAAAAGGAATTACTCCCTCTGGCTACGCAGTGCAAGACCAGACTCTCTCCACAACCAAGGGGGAGCCTCTCCGAAAGTCAGAGCCCCTCGGACTCAGGTCACATCTAATACCTCATCTCCCTATGCAGAGCCCCCCCCCCCAAAGTGA